CTCTAAGGCAGCAGAGAGGCATCTTTGGCCAATTCTGAAAACAGAGGAAGTGGCTAATATAGAAGTACTGGGATCAGTATATGAAAAATGTGTTAGACTAGGAACAAAGCTTTGCATATAACAGGGGATGCCATAATTCTTTCCCTACTGAAAAACAATTATTTGTATGGTACATTCCATTCCTAAAGGCTTAACAGTGCTCCTGAAGGTAACTCATGCTTTCTATGGCCCCTTAGATTCTGCTCTCACAGTCTGATTCCTCTAAGCCTTTGGAGTTGGGGCAGAAATTGGCGTTTCAAACAGGGGAGAGTTGTATTGCTCAGGAGGTCTCCCAGAGTCTCAGTTCTCAGAGACAATATGCACGTGCCAAAGGGCTTGCAAGATGTGGGGATTTCCATCCTGGCTGACAATGTCTGGTATTCCTGCCTTTGCACAAGCTGAGATTCTAAACTCTGCTTTTACACTTTTGCAATTCACCTTCCACTATTCTGACAATGTTATGTCGTGGTTTTTCTATGATGTTATATTTACAAAAGCAACTTAGGTCTTCACTGATACTTAATTTAATCACAAAGCTTTCAAGAGGCCCTACCAGTCCCAGACATCTGCTCAGGATCAAAATGGGGGCACATGCCGTATCAAATGGCCAGTTAAAATACTTCTTTTCCCTTCAACCTACATTCTTTATTTATTTTAAGAATTAATGCAAGCAGTATTCCCTTTTCATACCACAACATTGTTTTCTACGTCAAATTCTCATTGAAAGATTTAAATTATTTGTTTCAACATACTTCTATATCTTTAAATGAATCTGTATATAGGAATCATTATTAGCTGCTTTTATTATCTATTTGTAGCAAACAGTTGCATACTGAGATTGAGATTGATTGAAATCATGCCCTGTTAATGAAGAGGATTCAAATGCTGACTCAATTTTTTCACCAATGGGTCATAAAAATAATTTTCAGCTAAAATTTCAAAAATATAAGCAAATAAGAACACAGAAATTTTAGGAGTTTTTTCATGATTAGGTTGAATTTTAAAATCTTTTTTTAATTAAAAAAAATAGTAAGTGTCCAAGTAATCATGATAGAACACATTTTAGACCTCTATTAAAGAAATATACAGATTAAAGAATACCAAGACAGATGCCTTTGTGAACAGTGATCATTCTGAAGGTGCCTCTCCAAAAGACCTGGTAAAGGGAAAGTTCTCTGGGGGCAGTTTTAAAAGTTTCCTATATATTCATTACAAATAGCAAGAAGAAGTAACAATATTTAGCTGCAGTTTCAAGTTTGGTTCCCAAAGAGTACTACTCTCCTCCTTATATAGCATTTTATAAGAATTTCTGAAATGGTCTACCGTGACTCTTGGAGTCCTTATAAACTATTAAAACAACAGTTTCTAGTGGGTATAGCTCAGTGGTAGAGTGTGTGCTTAGCATGCATGAGATCCTGGGTTCAATCCCCAGTACCTCCATTAAAAAATAATAATAATAAACAAATAAATAAACCTAATCACCTCCCCTGACAAAAAATAAAATGAAATAACAACCAGTTTCTAAAATCAAATGCAAATCAAACCTAGCATTTTCTACCAACTGGGATCCAAAGTCACCTTATGATTTCCATTTCTATCACTGCTTCAGTAAACCCAATGAGCTTAACAATTACATTTCCATTTCCCAAGTAAGTTTCAGAGCCTCTAGATTTTTGCAATTTAAATCTAACATTTCTTTTCTTTTTTGGAACACCGTCATTTCATACAGAATTGAGTTCTTCTTACTTCCTTATCTGTGTGGAACAGGGATGGAATGGTATTTTTACCTATCCTTCTAGGTTTGCTCAGACATCAATTTGAGTTTGCATTCTTCACCAAACCTGTCACTGCAGTTTTGCCAATCTGATTATTTAGACAAAAAACCCTTAACTCTAAACTTAAACAACTTGCATTACTGCAGCCAGAAGTGAAGTTTGCTGCCATTAAACCTTTAGGGTAATGTTTTTAAAAGATTTCTTACTTTTCCAACTAAGTGGTCGGCACTGGGAAATGGAGGATACTTTGAACATGCACTACTTTTAATGCCCCTCAGTAGCTACTCAGTACTACGTACTAAAAACAATATTTAGTAAGTCTTTGGGGACCAGAGAGCTCAAAATCCACCACTGAAAGCTTATCCATGCAACTCTGCATAAATGGAAGAGTTCAAGAGATTCCAATGGCAACATTAAACAATTCTCCTGTCTATGTCTGTGACGAATTATTGCAAAAATTAACTCCTCAGATATCTGTGATGATGTTGACAAGCAACATATTCATATAAACTTTGCAGAAAAGTTATCCAAATAGGCCACAATAGACCATGAACTATGCTACCAATCTAGTTTTACAGGCTATCAGCCCCTGTCTCTAAATTTTAACAAGTTCCATGATAAATGATTCACCCTACTAGAATCAGTTCACACAGCCTAAGGGATCCCCCAAAGTACAAAACATAAGCACTCAGGACTAAATGCTTAGCAATAACTATGTCTTAACAGACCTGCTCAACCATACCCAAGCTTAAATAAGGAATCACACTACCTTCTCAAAGTAGGAAGAAGAAAAATAGCAACTGAAGTAACATTATGAGGTATAAGCAATAAATGTTATGATTCAATCCAATAAAAATATTCTTTCAATGGAGAAAACATTAAAAACTAACTCTTATGAGTACTTTTCAGCTAATTTTTATCAGTCTATAATGGATATCTGCATGATATTATAACAACTCACTTTTATTTGTATTTCTTAGAAATCCATTTTTCCCTGTTAGTCAAGTAAAATATAACATTTATGACTATTATTATTATTATTATATTTGGTTATACTTCTTCAATAATAATGCATGTAATTATTAGCTGCTTTTTTGAGACTGGCACTTAAACTACATTATTTCATTTAACCCTTTGAGTCACCCTTTAAGGTTTGCTGTATTGCCCCTACCTTATAAAATAAAGTATCACTGAGTGACTTAAGTCACTCCCCAAGGCCACGCAGTCAGCAACGGCAGGCTAGAGGTTTGCCAGAGTCTGCTTCAGTCTTTAGCCTGCACTATTTCCACCTTACTCCATTTCTCTCCTCAAACTTCCTTCTGACCTATTTTGGGAACCCTTGAAAGTAACTCACCATTAAAAGCTAAAACTCTAGGAGTGATGGTGTATCAGAAAACTATGGACTAATAAAGGTCATGATTTGCTTTCTGAAGACCATATACTTGTTTTATTCACCTGGACAGAATCGATAATGAGGGACAGAGTTTACAAATTACATGACATTTTCAGCTGTAGAAGTGGGTGGGAAGGAAAAGTTACAGCCTAAAACAGTAATTTCCCCCAACTTCATGCCTTCATTCATATCTGTGCTCAATGCGTTTCATCTTCATTCGTAGAGTGATTTGGTCATCATCTGCAGGCCACCCCGCTACTGTGCTTGCTGTACCACAGGAGAGTACAACTCTCAAGAAGGAAAGGATTGCAAAAAAGGAACCAGAAGGGAGGACTAAGCAGGGAAAACCATTCTGCATTTGTGGCCATCCCTGAAAAGAAGGGGTTACATTCAAATCCACTGGACATTCTCCCTCATGTCTCTACTCCTCGATCCAAATTTTCAGTCATAATCTCAATGTCAACTTAACAGATGGAAAGTTGGCAGAAGTAAGCAATAGCTTTTGCTTTTTTTTCCCTAGAGAAACACACATATATATACACACACATACATGTTGAAGTAGATATTAGATATTATTTTCCCTCTATAATTTGCAAATTCTCTGCAATGAGTATGCATGTATTTCACAACTGATAAAAATCATAACTATCATTCAAACATTTTTCTCTCCACTCCCACTGCTTTCTCACAGCAGTCTGCATTACTCTTAACTCTGCTGCATTTTATAAGGCAATAAACAAGAGTAAAACCTGGGACAAGAACAGAGATGTTTAAGAGCAACTGGTAAGAAAAAAAATTTAATTGGTGTGGTTATTATTTTCAGAAAGAAAATGGTTTAAAAATAAAGATTAAAAAAAGAAAATTGCTTAAATAGAGGAATAAATAAAAGCATCTCAAAGTCTCAAAGGCCTATTTGGGGCTGTCTATAAATTTAATAATTACGCATATATAAAAATAATAGATGTTCAGGTGATTGGTCCGTTTGCAGCCCAAAGTTTAATTTTGAAAAATACAAGCCAAATTCTTTAAAACTGGTAATATCAATCTAACGTAATGGAACCAATTACTATAATGATATTTCATAAATATTTCACAGCAACAGATAATAATGATAATAAAACTCTCAGCAACAACTCCTGACATTTACTGAATGCATTCTAGAGATAAGTCAAGGGACTAAGTGCTTCAATGCATAATCTCATGGAATTGTCAAGCAATCTAACAACAAAGGTACTTTTCTTTTTTTTGTTTGTATTTCACGGATGAAGAAACTGAGGCTTACAGAAGTTGAACAGTTTAAGCAAATAGCAGCATTGGAACTCAAAGCCAGTTCTGTTTTAAACACTGTAATAAAACCAAAATGTCTTCATACCATTGAAATCAGTTAAACTGACTTCCAAGATTAATATCTTTTAAGACAATCTCCTTCTAGAGATGAGCCAAAAATTTGGCAATGACAAAAACTTTAAAAAATAGCACACTTTTGAAAATTTAGGAATTTTGGAAGAGAGAGGACTATTAAAAATAAATGTTAATTCCCAAGACAGAGGGACACCAAAATAACACATTAGAAAATCATGAAACCTTTAGTAAGGAGAAATTCTACCAAAGATTTTCCCTAATTTCTTTCTGTAATCTATGCTTCTGTAACATCTTCTGCATTATTCTTTATTGTCTATATATTTCATATATCACATAAATCAGATTAACTGGGTATTTATGGAAAGTATGTATATAAACCATAACTTTCCAGTCATACTAAGAGTATAAAAGTTTATAACTTTGGACCATACCTTAGTTTTCATGAACTTGGAGTGACTTTTGTAAACCTCTATTTGTTTTATCTCTTCTTCGCGGTCCTCAGTGTTCAGCACACCATTGGCTTTTAACATCTGGATCTCATCCTCAAGATCCCTTATGTTTCGCTCCAATGAAGCGATTTTTGTGTCCTGTTGGCGAAAAAAGAAGAAGAAGAAGACAAAGAAAATTGTTTTTTCAGTATCACTGAAACAGAATTTCAGAAAGCAATTTTAGTAATATATTAAACATGGTGTAGACACAGCCCTAAATTCAGAACAATTTATTTTTTCACTTATGAGGATTATCTGTCAGATTATTTTTTAAGCTCCCAATAAAGATCATGTGCCAATACATTACAGAAAATTACCTAGATATGTTTGTCTTATATCCAACAAATCAAATCATCAAAGCAATAATGATAAAACTGATCTAAAGTGTTAAAAAACAAAAACATCATTTAAGGGAACAAATTTTTAATTTCACATATAGTTTATCAGTGTATATTTTTGAGTCTGCTTGTAAACACAAAAATAGTTTGTTCATGTGTGTATTCTGTGGCTGGTTTTATAAGGCATGCTTGGAATTTGACTGTGAGAGAGAAGGAAATTAAAATCTACTAATGGGGAAAAGGATTCTCATCTAAAATGCAGACATAAGTGAAATTAAATAACTGAATCATGACCTAGTATGACTGATACACTAAATATTGAAAATTTATAGCAACTGGAAATAATATATCACAACATCATGATTTATTTGGCAAGCAGTCCGCTCCCTGCGTGACAAAAAACGTTACTACCTTGAAGGGTATTTCTAACTTTTGATTTACAGAGTTAAAAAACTAGAAATATTACACTCAAATGTGGGATTAGTTGAGAAAAAAATAATCATAGAGAAGTTTTTTTTAAAAAGGAAATGACAGACTCTACACACAAGGTAGAGCATAATAAGAAATGATGCATTAGAAAGTAGAGAAGAGAGAGCTCTCATAGAGGAAAAAAACTTTTCCCAACCTCAACTATTAAACTCAAATCAGTCTTTGGAATGAAACACATTGAAAATTAGACTTCAAGTTTTCTCACTGTCACCATCTACCTGCCATTTTATTGTGTAGATTCAAGGAGCTTATATTACTTTTGTAATTGAAAGTTAATGAAAAACAAGCTCATATTTTTTTTTGATGAAGAGTTTTTTTTTAACATTTTTTATTGAGTTATAGTCATTTTACAATGTTGTGTCAAATTCCAGTGTAGAGCACAATTTTCCAGTTATACATGAACATATATATATTTATTGTCACATTTTTTTTCGCTGTGAGCTACCACAAGATCTTGTATATATTTCCCTGTGCTATATAGTATAATCTTGTTTATCTATTCTGCATATGCCTGTCAGTATCTACAAATTTTGAAACCCCAGTCTGTCCCTTCCCACCCCGTGCCCCTTTGGCAACCACAAGTTTGTATTCTATGTCTATGAGTCTGTGTTTCTGTTTTGTATTTATGTTCTTTTTTTTTTTTTTAAGATTCCACATATGAGCGATCTCATGGTATTTTTGTTTCTCTTTATGGCTTACTTCACTTAGAATGACATTCTCCAGAGACATCCATGTTGTAGCAAATGACATTATGTTGTTGTTTTTATGGCTGAATAGTATTCCACTATATAAATATACCACAAACTCATATTTTTACCAATTCATTTTTTAGAATCTAAAAAACTAAAGAGTTCCAAAAGTAAAGACAAAATGGGTTATTCTATTTATAATTTAACTTATGGAAAAAATTTTGCAACAAATATATCTGTCCTGATTCTGCAGCTATTTTACTTTTTTATATTATATGCCCAATTGCATGTTTCTTGTGGCAATATCATCATCATTATCATTATCATTATCATTGCCATCATTGTAAAAAAGAGAAAAATCAGGAGCAGCGACAGCTACTCACTGAGCTCCACTATGTGCCCATATCTAGGTGCTCTATGTGCTGGCGACACTTTTCTTAATTCTCATAAAAACCCCAAGAAAATGAAAGAAAACGACTCTGAAATTTGCAAAATTATTAAGAAATGTTACAAGCTACAGTATTTCATATTTCTTTAAAAACATTTTTATTGTATCTTTGCAGTTATAAAAGCAATACACTTTAAATTCACAGAAAAAGGAGAAATGCTCTCTAATCCTACCATCCAGCAATAACTTTCATGTTTTTATGTATAGCCTGCCAGTCTTTTCCTATTTTAAATGCATACCTGTAATCTTGTATACTGCCAGTTTGAGTGAGGAGAATGTTTTGGAATGAATGCCTATGTGCCTCCAAAAATTGTATGTCGATGCCCTAATCCCTAATGTGATGATATTTGGAGATGAGGCCTTTGAGAAGTAATCAGCGTTAGATGGGGTCATGAAGATGGAGCCCTCAGGATGGGATTAGTGCTCTCATAAGACGAGATAGCGGAGAGCTGTTCTCTCTCTCTGCCTATAAGAACACCACAAGAAGGTGGCTATCTGCAAGACAGGAAGAGAGCTCTCACAGGAATCCAACCATGCTTATCACCCTGATCTCAGACTTCAGCCTCCAGAACTATGAGAAAATAAATTTCTGCTTTTTAAGCCACCCAGTCTGTGGTATTTTGTAATAGCAGCCCAAGCTAATGAATGTTGGGAGTCATCCTTAGTGACTCATTTGAGTTTTACACTATAAGAACTCTGTAGATAAAAAGAGCAGCAATTAAAAAAAAAAAGGAAGCAATAAGGAAAAGGCTATGGAAAAAGAGCTTCTAAAAGTTCTTAAGAGTTTCGTAAGTAAATAACAATCACTTTGAATCAACAGTTTTTCTGACTATAAAAATTCATGCTCATTACAGAAAAACTGAAAAGCCACTGAGAAAATTACACTCTCCACCCCAATCCCATCACCCAGACATATCCACTATTAACAATTTTATTTATCCCCATGAGCCTTAAGACTATATTACTTCTTTAAAACATATGAAAAGATAGCTCTCAATTAAGACTAATGAATATAATGTAGATTTCCTCTCTTTATTGAGATATAATCTTTCAGTATTTACAAACATCTAAATATAATCTTTACAAGAGTTAACTATAAGTTAAGCATGAAAGGAAGGGCCAACATCACTCCTTCCTGATATAAAATCTGGAATTTCAAACTCAAGTCTAAAGTGATCATATTTATATGTATGTATGTATACACCTATGTACATGTACAAATATGTATTATACCTTAATTTCTTTACAGCATTTGTTAAAATTTCAGTTCTCAATTATGTAAGCAAGGAGAAAAGAAACCCTCAGCTTTCCTCTCAGTCAATTCCTGAGGCTTTAGTTAGCCATGACCACAAATGCGAAGTTCTAAATGGATTAGAAGGAGCTTTTCATTGGACTTTAAAAAATTACATACTGCTAAAGAAAGATCAGAATGAAGTTAAGATATAAAGTGTCTTAACATAGAAAATCCTCTTGACCTATGTACATCTGAGTTAAAATTTCACCAAAAGGTTAAACACAATTTTTAAAATAGTATTTTTAACTCTTACTAATTTTCTTAAATTAACCAGCCTTTCTTTTTCCTCACAAACTTCATTTTTCCTTTAGCCATGGGTGTCCCAAAATACCAAAAAAAAAGGGGGGGGTGGGGAGCGGGAGAAGATGAAAGAAAAGAGAAATGAGTACTGTGGAAGTCACTTTAATAAGGATCAAATTTTCTTCTGTCCTTATTTATATTTTTGTTCTTACAATAAAGAGTCAATTTCAAGGGCAACAGAACTTACACCTAAAATCATAAGCATAGAGAAAAAGAGGTGGGTAAGATCAGTAAAATCTAGCGAGGAGAACAGGTACAAAATACACAGGTATACTAGATGATGTATTGACTGCCCAAAAAGATATTCAAAATGCTGAGCCAGAAGAAGACGTGAAAAATATAACCATGAAACATAAAGCAAATAAAATTACTTCTCTGGCCATAGCTTCTCCCCTGCTTCAGTTTGAAGAATTCAAGAAGAAATTTTATCTTTTTCAGTAAAAAAAACAAAACAAAACAAAACAAAAAAACCAACTCTGAATCTAAGATGAGTGACTAAAACCTTGTATATTTAAGGAAGACTATGGAAGGAAATTACCTCACAAGTCCTGATGTGGCTCAATGTGGTACATGGTTGTTGCCTTTCAAAACAGATACTAAATGCACATTCTCAATAACCTAAGCACTGGTCTAGAATAGAGGGAAGAACTTAAGTGAAGACATATGCTGTAACATCCTGAAAAGTGGCGTTTTAGAAAGTAGAGCAACATTTTACTCCCTATCACCAAAGAGTTATCACTGGAACATCTTTACGGGTTATTTACAACTGCTACTTAAAAATAATTTATGTAGTGATTTTCAAATATTCATCTAGATTGTTTCACAAATACGCAAGTTCTCAAAGCAGATAATTGCAGGCTTCCTTAGATATGGGGAAAGTGAAATACAACATAGAACAGCTTTTCCCAAAGTCCAGAGAAACCAAACGCTCTGTGAAAAGGGGGTTTCAGGGTCGAGTAAGTTTGAGAAATGATTATTGGGGATTCCCCAAAATACTAGCATTAATGGCCCTGGGAAGTCCTAGAGTAAATATTCTATTTACTTTGATTTCTTCCAGTATTATTACTCTAGAATTTTTGGAGAAAAAAAAATAAGACTCTAAATGATCATGTTAAGCTGTGGGTCATAAACTAAAAGGAAAAGTCAAAACAATTATTTGAAGTCTTCAAGAGAAAACTTGCCTGATTACTGCCAATTTAAAATAATTGAAGGCTTGAATATTCAGATCACCTTGTCAGCTTCTGTCACTCAAAAGTGGTTTACTGAGAGCCTGCTCTGAGCCCAGAGCAGTGAAAGAACTGACATAAACTTCCATGCTCCCCGAACTCACCACTTCATGTCTCAGGTGACATTTTTCAAATACTCTTGAGATAGGACAGACATAAAACTGTTTTGCTTCAAGTTTCAGGGGGTAAAAAAACAGTGGAAGAATGTTTGCTTCATTCTCCATGAATTAGAAAAATATCTGAATTGAACATTTCTTTAAGTCATGCCTTTCCACACAGTTATAAAATAATACTTGTAATAATACTTTATTTTAC